CCTCAAACGTGTGATGGTCTCTTTTCTGGGGGGCAGGGGGCGCACACAGGTTTCCTGTGCTGAGCGAGCACAGGGTGAGGATCTGATTCTGTCCCTTCCCCGTCTCCTCCTCCACCTCCAGGCTGACTTTGGAGCTGGGAAGTCTCAGGCTGAGGGTCCCCACACTGTGGACTTGTCACTCTGCCCACGTCATGTCACTTAGTCATTCACCCTCTCTGACCTTTTGCTTCCAAAGGTGTAAAATGAGACGCGTGGCTCGGTCCACACCTGGGCCCCTCACCTCTTTGGCAGTGGCCCCAGAGCTGGCCAGCAACTGGAGCGGAACCCGGAGAGGGCTGGGCTTTTCACACCTGAAAGGAGGGGAGAGGAGCAACTGCCCAGCCCTGGGCAGCAGCCTGAGAACACGTGACCCTGGGATCTGTGCGCTTTCCGGAAGGAGGGAAGGATTTACCCATTGCCCACCCAGGCACTGCTCCAAGCCTGCTCCCCGCTCTTTTCTCCTTGGCCTCACTCAGGGTCCTTCACCCCCCCCTCCCTCAATCGAGCCCCAGCCCAGTGGCCACTCTGCTCGACTCCAGGAGGCCCCATGCTTGGGTTCCAGGGTGCAGAGTTATGGTGACTGTCCCCTAGAATAAAAGGCCTCCTCCTAGCTCTAGGCCTCTTCTTAGCTCTAGGGTTCAAGCTGACTGTCCCGGGGGCACCAAAGACCAACCTGATGGAGCCAGAGTGATAGTATAGTGAGTATGGTATTTGCCTTGCACGCGTCTGACCCGGGTTTGATCCCCAGCATCCCATATGGTCCCTCAAGCACCGCCAGGAGTAGTTCCTGAGTGTAGAGCCAGGAGTAACCCCTGAGCATATCTGGGTGTGACCCAGAAAGAAATTAAAATAAAAAAGACCAACCTGAACCCAGCAGGACACATTAGCCCCCTTGGACCTGTGTCAGAATAGCACTGTTTCCCAGGAAACTGCACCTTAAGACCTCTGATACCCCTGATCGCTCCGGTCCAGCTAAGGCTGTCTGCCTCTGTCCATCTTCCCCCCCCCCCCCCCCGGATCTCTTGTTTAGTTTCATCTCCCCAGACACGAGGGGACGCTATGTGGAATGCCTGGCTCTGGCTGCTGCTCTAATTCCGAACTCCCACAACTTTCACTGTACAGATGAGGAAGCTACAGAGGAAGCAGAGAGAAGTGAGGCATCAGCTGGGGCTAGGATTTGAGTCCAAGCTGCCTGTTGCAACAGCACAAGAATCTCCTCCCAGGTCTTCTCACTGGTTCTGCAGTCTGTCCCCTTCTCTAGATCCCTTCCCGTCACTCACAGTCCCTTCTTTAAGAAAACACTGTAAGGACACAAGTTACTCCTGCCGTGTGGTGTTTGTGTGTTCCCTGCTCCAAAAGCTTTGAAACACCTCCTATCCCCCCCACCCCACCCCACCCCATCTTTTGCTAACAAAACAACCCAGTCCCTGGACTTTGGCTTCAGGGAAGTAACCCTGAGTTTCTTTGCTCCCCCAAGGACCCTCCCTGTTCCTGAGTCCTCTTACTGTCACTTCTCACGCTGGCTCTTAGAGTGAGTCAGAATGGTTTTCTTTGAGGGGTGGCAAGAAATGCTCCCAGTGATTCCCAGCCAACTATGTTGGCAGTTCAATACGAGGGCCAGAAGATACGATGCAGCTCAGGTCACACTGGCAGTGTTCAGAGGACTACAAGTTGCCAGGGATTGAACCTGGTTCAGGTGCATGATAGGTATGAGCACTAACCACTGAACCATCTTCTGAAGTTTAAGTTTTTTTAATTTGTTTTGGGCCACACCTGGAAATGCTCAGAGATTTCTCCCGGCTCTGCACTTAGGAATTACTCATGACGGTGCTCAGAGGATCATATGAAATGCCAGGGATTGAACCTGGGTTGACCATCACAAATCACAAATCATCCTGTTAATCGTCGATTGCCTCGAGCAGGCCCCAGTAACGTCTCCTTCATCCTAGCCCTGAGGTTATATTCAAGGCTCTTTAGGAGAATGAGACCCATCATTGTTACTGGTATTTGGCATATTGGGTACGCCACGGGGAGTTTGCCAGACCATGTACAAGGCAAATAAATGCTCTACCCACAATACTATCGCTCTGGCTTCAGTCTCTTTTAACTTTTTAATAATGTTCCCTTCCCTTTTCCATAGCAGTGGCTGGGAGGTACGCCTGGCTTACTGGGAGGATTGGAAAACTTGACTGTAGCGCATGCCACAGCACGACCAGTGTGGTGCAGGAATGCACCAGTGCATAGCAGGGTTGCTGAGACGCTTCCCTGGGTGGGAAGGCTGGGGGTTGTCTCACTGAACTCTGGCAACCCTGCGGCTCACACGGGGGTTGCTACTCACCAGGTGCCGTGTGGAACCCTTTGACCATCACTGCCATCACTGAGTCCTCGCTAATGTTTTGTGACGTCTGAGTGGCATGCTGTCAGGTCCATCATTTTCCAGATGAGGAAATGAGGCCCTGAGGGGTATGACATTGCCCAGAGTCTCCGGATTTCAGAGAGAAAAGCCAGGACCAGAGCCCAGATACACAACTCTGAAGTCTTAACTGTCACCTCTCACTGTCTCCAAACACAATGGCAACATAAACACCCACTCCCTGGGTCCCACATTCTGATATCCCATGCCATGTGATGGAAGCATGCATGGGATACCATAGTCATGCAGTCCAGCGTCTGAGGAACACCCTAACTGACCGTCAAGACACCTGGGGAAAGGAACCTCTTGTAGAATGTGATATTTTACTCACCCATTTATCTACCAAGCATCTACAGAATATGTGCTGGGCACTATTGTAACCCATGATGGAAAGCAATGACAACCCATCGTCCCTCTCTCCAAACGCCTCTTGTCATAGCTGATATGCTAGTTAGAGAGATGAAATCTATATGGATATGTATATACATACATTATATGTCACAACTGTCACAGATAAAAAATATAAAAGCTGCAGGGCAGGGAGTGCAGGAGTGATAGTACAGTCAGTGGGTAGGGCACTTGTCCTGCAATGCAGCTGACCTGGGCCCACCTGGGTCCAATCCCTGGCACCCCATATTGTCCCCCCAGCCTGCCTGGCATTCCCTGAGTGCAGAGCCAGAAATAAGCCCTGAATGCTAGTGGCATGGCTACTTCTCCTACACACACACACACACACACACACACACACACACACACAATGCAAGTTGTCCTCAGGAAGCCAGGGTCGCTGTCTGTTGCTGTGCAGGCAGAGGGCACAGATGTTCAAGGCTCTGAGCTGTCTCTCCAAGGAGGAGCACAGAGGCCTGTGTGACTGCAGAGGATGGAATGCAGAGAGAGGGTATGAGGAACCTCCCACAGGAAGTGGGGACCGAGGGAACACCACTGGGGCAGAAATCATGGCATGTCTCCTACATAACCGCACAGAAATGGGTACAGAAGTCTCCCTTAGAAAAGGCAGCTCAGATAGAGAAGGGAGCACCAAATAAAGGGTGTTGGGAGGATCCTCCCAGGATGGGAGAAACATGCTGAAAGTAGACTACAGAGCGAACATGATTGCCACTCAATGCCTCTTTTGCAAACCACAACACCCAAAAGGAGAGCGAGAACAGAGGGGAATGCCCTGCCATAGAGGCAGGGTGGGATGGGGGGATGGGGGGTGGGAGGGATACTGGGATCCGTGGTGGTGGGAAATGGGCACTGGTGGAGGGATGGGTATTTGATCATTGTATAATTGAAACCCAAGCACAAAATTTGTAAGTCTACAACTCTACCTCATGGTGTCTCACTAATGAAAAAAAAAAAAAAAAGAAGAAGAAGGCTCCCTTAGAGTCTTACAGGGAAAGAGATCAGAAAGCCCACATCAGGTTTCTAGGGGAATTTGACATTGCACCTGGGTGGGATCCTGCTGGCTTCTTGGAGGAGGTGGCACTTGTGCACGAAAGCAAGCACGGATATGGGGAGGAGGGACAGAGGAGCAACAGTAGGGCATGGGAGTAGCTTGCAGGAGGCGTGGGTCAGACCAGGGTGCAAGAAAGAGGTGAAGCCCCCGAGAGGGCCTCAGGTTTAATGGGGTTGAGAGGTCTCTGGACAGACAGGGTACGGGGAGAAGCCAGTGGTCACTGAGTGGAGACTCAGCAAATGAAGGAGGATTAAGGGTTAGGATCTTTGGGCTGTGGCCCAGGGTCACTCCTCATGCCCCTAGGCAAGTTAGTTGCGGGTCCAGGAAAGTCTGAGAGAAAGGCCACTGCAGCCTCTAGGATCCCTTCAGGGCAGTTCTGGGGGGACAGGCAAGGCTGGTAGAAGGGGGCTCCCTCCCTCACAGATCCCCCCTTGTGGGGACACTTCCGGGGTCTTCGTGGGGGTTAGTGCCAGAATCCCCGCAACCCGGGCTTCTGTGATTGGGCCCAGGACGCCCTTGGAGACCTGAAGACAGAGCTGCCCCGCCTCGCGGTTCCCACTCCAAGGAGAAGCCCCAGGGGCTACAGGGTCGTGGGGATAAGACCAGGGCTGGTGGCCAGCGGTGAAGGCAGAAGGGCAGGGTGGGAGAGAGAGAGAGAGAGGGAGGCGCCTCCAGAAAGACCCCATCAGTGTGGGGCACCCGCGGCGCCCACACTCTCCCTGCCACTAAGCAGAGGGGTCTCTGGCTCCTGTTTCGTGGGAGGGGAAACAGCGAGGAGAGGGGGGTGCCCACGGGGTTTGCCCAAAGCCCCATCGGAGCTGGGGTCCCAGGGGTCCTGTGCTGGTGGAGACGCCCCACTCTACCTGAATGATGAAGCAGTGACGCGGCCAGAGGGTGCCCTGGCAGAGACGCGGGGAGAGAGGGCCCTGGCACCGCGCGGCATCAGCTGCTCAGCTGTCACCGAGTCCCCGTGCCTCCTCCCGCCCGCGCGGACCCGTCCACCTGGCTGCTCTGCCCGCAGCGATGTGCGGCGCCCCCGGGTCCCCGGGGATGAGGGGCTTGGGATGCTGGAGCCCCGGTGTGGGCGCGGGGCGCCGCCCCCTCGGCTGTGCGCAAATTGCCGGGCCTTGGCTGCGGCCGCCGGCGCCCTCCTCCCCCGCGCGCGGTGGTACGCTCCAGCCCGCCTGGCCCCGCTGCAGTGGATGTTGCTAGAACCCACGCGGAGGAAGGAAGAGACGCAGGCAGGCTGCGGTGACCCAAGCGGCCGCCCCTGCCTCAGGGACCCCTTCCCCGCGAGACGACACCATGACCCAGGGAAAGGTACCAGCATCTCCCCCGCCGGCACCCTCTTCCATCCTTGCCCCTGCCTAAGCAAGCTCCCTGGACCACTCTGAGCCTCTGGCCCTGGCTCTGGGCAAAGGCCGCAAGGTCCGCTGTGGTCCTGGCTGGTAGCAGAGGCTCCAAGGATCATCCCCTCCCAGCGCCCTTCCACCCGTGCTTCGGCATCCCCAGACCTTTCACGGTGGCGCAGGTCTCTGTAGGGGTGTGTGTGTGTGCGTGTGTGTGTGTGTGTGTGTGTGTGTGTGGCAAATGCAGGATGTGGTCTGAGGGGCAGTACCTACGGAGCATCCCCATCTGGTCCAACCCCAACCCCAATGTGCTTATCTTTCCTACCTTCACAGAACACCCTCCACCCACCCCCCCCCCCCACCACACCCTCAACTCCTGTCATTTCACATCTGGACGCATCCCCTGTGGTTGGGGGTTACTATGGCAACCCTGCATCCGGATGCTCTGATTTTCCTTTAGGTTTTGGTGTGGCCTGGGACTGGGTGGGATTGGACAAAAACATCTCATTTTCCAGCTTTAGGCCTGAAATGAGGGAGAGGAGAGACTTGGCTGGCTTTTTAGGATTATGTAATCTCAACAGCCTGTGGAATTATACAACTCTCGGGACCTGGGACAAACAGGAAGGGTCTTCTGGCCCCCTGTTTGGGGATGCTAAGGATTGGAGAGAGAAAATAGAAGGACTTTCCCATCAGCACCCCCCCCCCCGACTCCCCGCTTTACAATCAGTCTCAGGGCAATGGCTTCTTCGCAGGCTCTCAGACCCTCCTTCCCGGGTGAACCTTCTCAGGACTCAGAATGATGTCACTGGCTGATACCACTTCTGCCAGTGGGTAGACCCCACTTGGGAATGCCGGATGCGGGGTGGGGGGGGGAGGGCCAGGAGACTCTGGAGTGCTGAGTGGTGGGGGTGGGGGTGGAGGACCCATTTTGCGCAGGTCTGCGGAGTCTCTGGGTACTGGGAGAAGAGGTGGGGGAAGGTGGAATGAATGACCAGTTTTGCACAGGGCTGTTTTTCCCGGCATAAGCTCAAGACTCAGGGGTGCTTGATTCTGCTGGTTGAAATAGGTTTGGCTGAGCCTGGCCCATCCCTTCTGAGTAGTGAAGGGTGAATGGGAAGGAAACAGAGGATCTGGAGCCCCATTCCCACAAACCTAAGCCCCAAATTCTTTCCCAAGGAAGCCTGGGAGGGGTGGACAATGGTGGATAAATGAGCTCTGCTGTCCTCTCCCCATACCCCACCCTGCCCAGTCCCCACTGGGTGAGCTGCTGGGGTCCTGGGGTCAGGCTCCCCTGCTGCCCCCTGTCCTCGGCCTCTCCCAGGCTAAGCCCCCCAGTCCTGGTCCTCACGGCTCGAGAGGCTGGTTGCTTGCCCGTCTCTGGGCGGCCTCACGAGACACATTCTTTTTGGAACCAGACCTCCATTTTCTGTGGTTTGGTTCCTTTGTGGGTGCTTTGTTTCTGTCATCAGACTTCCCTTCTCTGTGGCATCATTCAGGCCCTTTTTTGGCTCTCTTGGGCAGCCTGAGTGTCAGCAGACTTGGATGCCAGCCTTCCTGGAACGTGCCGTGAGCCCGTCTCCTCATTGGTCAGGAGGAGGAAGGGGCTAAACTAGATGCTTTACAAGGTCCCTTTTTGTTGTGTTTTTTTTTCCGTTTTGTTTTTGTTTTCATTTTGTTTTGGAGCCAAGCTGGCAATGCTCAGGGGTTAGTCCTGGCGATGTGCTCAGGAATCACTCCTGGCAGTGATTGGGGGACAATATGGGGTGCTGAGGATCAAACCAAGTCAGTGCATGCAAGGCAAGCGTCCTACCTGCTGTGCTATCATCCTGTTAGGTCCCTTTTATTGATTGATTGATTGATTGATTGATTGATTGATTTTTGGGTCATACCCAGCAATGCACAGGGGTTACTCCTGGCTCTGCACTCAGAAATTACTCCTGGCAGTGCTCAGGGGACCATATGGGATGCTGGGAATCGAACCCAGGTTGACTGTGTGCAAGGCAAACGCCCTACCCGCTGTACTATCACTCCAGCCCCTGTTAGGTCCCTTTTAGCAGTGACAGAAATTCTGATTCTATGAGTTTGGGAGAGAGGTCGAGGTCCGAATAGGTTAAGGTTAAATGGGCCCCTTAGCCAGGGATCTGTCTCCCTGTACTCCTTTCATCTCAAAAAAAATATTTTTAAACATTTCTTTCTTTATTTCGGAGAGCACTGTGCTCAGGGTCACGCTTGGCAATGCTTGGGGGACCATATATAGTGTTGGGCGTTGAACTGGAATCAGCTGCAAGGCAAGTGCTTTGTTCCCTATACTATCTTTCCGGTCCCTAAAAATACTTTCGAGGTCATTCTGTGTGCCAGGCCCTTCTCCGAGGACATAGTCTAATTGTACAGACTCAGTTTCTGCTGGGGACAATGACCACCAATGGCATTCTCTTCTAAGATTTTTCTCTTTCCTCAGTTATGTCCCAGTCCCTGGCCACCCTGACCTCCTAGAACTCAGTTGTTTTATCCATCAATTAAAGGGAGGTTATCCCCTTCAGATTTACTGGCGTATAATTGACAATAATTGACAAACAATTGTATATACATTGAGCTAAATATTTTTCTATCTTTGTTTTGCTTTTGAAGTCACACCTAACCTAACCACATTCTGCTGGTTGAAATAGGTTTGGCTGGAACAGTGCTCAGAACTTACTCCTGGAGGCTCTTGTGGACAGAATGGAATGTCATGCATCGAACCTAGGTTGGCTACAAGAAGGCACACGCCCTACCTGCTGTGCTATCACTCTGGCCCCCTGAGCTACATCTTGATATGTTTATGTACTATGACATGCATATGTTGTAAAGTGACTGCGGCAATCAGGCTAGTTAACATGTTCAAACACTTTACATAGTTACCTTTTTTGGTGGGTGAAAACATGAAGATACAGCCTCAGGCCAGAGAGCTATTACAGGGCATTTGCCTTGCACATGGCCAATTTGGGCTCCATCCCTAGCGCCCAATATGGTCCTCTGAGCACCACCAGGAGTGACCCAGACACAGCCAAGTGTGGCCCAAACCCCTCCCCCCCAAAAAATCTGCACATTTCATTTTTGGGAAACCCAGATTCCATCCCCTGCCTCCCAGGAGCATGGCCAGAAGCAACCCAGAGCAAAACCTGAGAGAAACCCCTGACCACCATTTATCTGCATGTGGTCAGATAAACGAACCAAAGACAGCTCTGTCTTGGCTAATTTCCAGTGGACAGTACAGTATTTTTAACTATAGTCCCCATTAATCGAGACTTCCCTTGTCACGGTTTCTCCCTCCCTCACTCCTACCCCCACCGCATCTGCCGTTCCACTCACTGCTTCTACGGGGCTGATGGTGCCCCTGTGAACGCTCGCGTGGGCACAGGCAGACCTTGTCTTCCTGTGTCTGGTTTCTTTCCCTTGGACCTCCGGGCTCCCTCGCATTGGCACAGATGGCACGATTTCCCCAGACTAAAGGCTGAACAGTATCCCTCTCCGTTCACGTCACATCAACAATACAAAATAGTTTATTTACTTAGATATAAAATACAGTATCATGTTCTGTGACTGGCACACGCATCTGTGTCGCATAGAACAGGGAGTTTCCCATGGGCACCCCCATTTCCTACTACAGGAAACCAAGTGCCCACTGAAGTTCTGGGAACTGAAGGGCTGCTGGGAAGGGCTCGGAAGGTGCCCTGTCCCTGTGACGGCTCACTCTGCTTCTGTCCTGCAGCTCTCCGTGGCTAACAAGGCCCCCGGGACTGAGGGGCAGCAGCAGGCGAATGGTGAGAAGAAAGAGTCCCCGGCAGTGCCCTCGGCCCCGCCCTCCTATGAGGAGGCCACCTCTGGGGAAGGGGTGAAGGCAGGGCCCTTCCCGCCGGCCCCCCCTGCTGTGCCGCTCCACCCCAGCTGGGCCTATGTGGACCCTGGTAAGTGTGTCAGCTCCAGGAGACTATTCTTCAGGGGCAGGGGCAGACCCAGAGGGAAAGGCTTGGGAGGAGGAAGCAGCTACCTTGCACACTGTTTCTCTTCCCTTCCCTGGGCCTTCACTGGTGGCAACAAGGCATGACCTGGATGCTAGCCTCAATGGCCCAGATGTTGGTCTTCATTGTTAGACAGTCACCCAGGTGGAGAATCACAGCCCCAGTCCCATCTGTTGGGTTGAGCAGCCTGTGGGAACTTAGTGTGCGGTCCACTAAGCAGCCCCTCGTCCCTTCCCCCGCCTTATCAGCACCCCACCGGCAGAATTCTAGAAGGGATTCCTGGAACAATGCCTTAGACAAAGCCTCCACTCCCAGGAAGAGGCCACCATGGTCCGTACCTACCAAGTCCTCCATCCAAACAGAGTCCAGAAGAAGCACCCCACTAGACCCAACCGGAAGGTCCCTAAAGGTCTGGTCTCCATGGGAGCCCTTCTCACACCCAGACACCATGATTTCCCCCTTCTTTTCTTCTCCTCCGAGGCCTGGTCATTCAGGCTGTTGGGGAAAGACCTAGACACAACCAGAGAAGTGAAGGATGAAAGAGGGAGGGTCTCCAGCCTCAGGCTTGCAGTGGGTTCATCTTCTCTCCCCGTCCTCATTTCTCATATCCTGGTTGCTTTGAGAAAGGTTTTCTCAGGAACTGTGGGGGCAGGAAGCATCCACTTCAGTCTCCATGTGGCAGGCAGTCTGTAATGTGCGTGCCAGGCAGTCCGTCACACTGAGCTGACTTCTGAGACACACAGCTTTGCAAGACCTGCCCTCAAACAGAACTGACCATGTAGACAAGAAACCAAGTGAGGGCTGTAGCGGTAGCACAGCAGGTAGGGCGTTTGCCTTGCATGCGGCTGACCCAAGTTTGATTCCCAGCATCCCATATGGTCCCCTGAGCACTGCCAGGGGTAATTCCTGAGTGCAGAGCCAGGAGTCACCCCTGAGCATTGCCGGGTGTGACCCAAAAGAAAAAAAAAAAGAAACCAAGTGAACATCTCACCGACATGCTGATAGGGTCTAGCCTGCCCATCTGACCTTCTTCTGGGAAGATTTCTTGGTGGGAAGGTTAGCCTGGACAGAAGGGAAATTCTTGTTTAGGACGGAAAGAATGAAAATCGCGGGGACTCAGAGGCAAGACAGTGGCTGTCTGCAAATGTGTAGACAGCTCAGGGGAGACACAGTGTTGGTTTGCTCAGGAACTTGATCACAAGAGAGTCGGCTTGGGAGGAGCTATCTGGCTTTGAAGGACCAACACACAGGGTCCTGCTGTGCAAATCAGGATTACAGAGAACAGATCGGAGCAGCAGTGGCAGGAAAGGACACCTGAGGCTCTCTGAGGCTCTGGGAATGGTCCAAGCACGGGTACGGGCACAGAGCCCCCTAGGCACAGAGTCATAGGCTTTCACTTACTTTGTTCGGCTCCCATGAGTTGGGTCTCACCAACCCATATCAAGGAGGAGACTCAGGGAGGTGACAACTAGTTTATCTCTGAGCAGGGCCTGCACACGGGTTTATGGCCTGTCTGTTGTACTCTCCCCAAAGTCGGAGTTCCAGGCACCCCAGCATGATCCCAACCCCCATTGGCTCTTTCCCGGGTCATGGTTCTAATTCCCTTCCCATGTCCCCCAGCCCTGGTCCCAACTCAAGCAACTGCAAATCCGTCCAACCACCTAGTCCCCAAACACCACCTCCCCCCACCAGTCCCCAGATCTTCAGAGCAAGCTGAGGTCAGGACCTTTGACTCATAGAAGTGTGAGTGGTCCTTGGACAGTGGCTGTCCCTTCAGGACCTTGCTGCAAAGGAGTCACCTACGAAGCACGTGCCCCTTCAAGGAGCGGGATGGGAACACGGGAAAGAGGGGTCACTTGTATATGGCAGAGCCTGGCCCCCAGGAAGTGTCACCCAGCCAAAATGGAAGGAAAGGGGGGAGGGAGGTCAGCTCATTTTCAAACCCAGAGCAGAAAACACGAACAGAGAGGCAAGATCTGTGTGGCATGGAGATTGGAGAAGGGGCTGTCCGGAGAGCCAGTGTGACAAAAAGAGACTCTGGGCCCCTGGCCACTGGGGATGGCATGTCTCTGGAAGAGCCTCACGGCCTCCCACCTTACCCCCACCCCCAGGCAGCTATGAGAGCCGTTTCTCCGGAGACCATGAGCTCTTCACCACCTTCAGCTGGGAAGACCAGAGGGTTCGCCGGGTTTTCGTCAGAAAGGTAACTGCCCCCACCCCAGTTTCCCAAGCTGCAGGACTGGGGGGCCTCTTGGAGAAGCCATTCGCCCAGCCCCGACCCTGCCGCGGGGTGCTCGAACCTCGGCTCCTGTTGGATGTCTTGGTGTGACCCTGCAGCTCCCCGTAGCACAGTCTCTTCTGCTCCCCCACTGCATGCTGGGGACTGTCTCTCCCGTGGGTGCAGGCGCGGGAGTATTTTATCCCCTCGCACCGTGTCCTGAGGCCATCCCAGGGACCCCCGAGAACAGATGTGGATCTGAAGAGTGGCACGAGAGGCCAGGGCTCCTGGCCCCCACCCCGAGCTGAGCTCAGCTGCCCCCACACTGAGTGGAGCCCCGTCTTCCCAGGTTTATACCATCCTGCTGCTGCAGCTGCTGGTGACCTTTGGCGTCGTGGCCCTCTTCACCTTCTGGTGAGCAGACGTGGTGGCTGGGTGCTGGTGGAGGGCACCCTTGAATGTTGGCCTGATGAGTCGTGTGCCAGCAGTGGGCTTCTTGGGGTCCTGGGTGGGGCCTTAGTGCACGTGAGGGGCACCTGGGGTTCGGGAAGCCTCTTCCACCCTGTGGCCCACATTCATGCACCCCTTGATCCCTCTCAAGCAAGGTGACTGGGGCTCCCAGAGTCTCCCAGGGGACATTCCTGCCTTTCCTTCCCTTGGGTGCTGTGAATGGGGCAGGCGCAAGTGGAGGTGGAGCCAGGCGGGAGGAGTTAAGTTCTCATTGTCTCTCCCTTCTCTGCAGTGATCCTGTGAAGGACTATGTCCAGGCCAACCCAGGCTGGTACTGGGCATCCTAGTGAGTATACCCTGGCCCTGCCCTCAGCAGCACACATTTGGGGTGGCTTCCCCACAAACCTTCCCTGGAGCACAAGCAGGACAACCCTTGTGGAGTCATTAGCGGGGAACAAGGAAAGAAATGGGTCTAAGTTGTGGTGGCCGCACAGAAGGGGAGAGTTGAACTGACTCCCTGGCTGCACGGCCCAGATCTCACTCCTGAGAAGGGGCCGGCACACCTTGGTCCGCACTAATGCGAATGTTGCTCTTCTCATTCGTGTTATTCACTGTCACTGTCACTGTCCTCCCATTGTTCATCGATGTGCTCGAGCAGGCACCAGTAACATCTCACAACAAATTGTGAGACTTGTTGACACTGTTTTTGGCATATTGAATATGTCACGGGGAGCTTGCCAGGCTTTGCCGTGCGGGTGAGATACTCTCAATAGCTTGCCGGGCTCTCCGAGAGGGGCGGAGGAATCAAACCCAGGTGGGCCGCGTGCAAGGCAGATGCCTTACCCGCTCTGCTATCGCTCCAGCCCATTCGTGTTATTAATGCTTACGAATTATTAATCATAATAACTACCACTTACCAAGTGCCTAATAGGGCTTGGCCTGATTCTGTGTGCTTGATGTATTGCGTTGATTCTCACCTTGGTTGGTTATAATTACCTCAGAAAACTAAGGCTCAGAGAAGTTGAGTAATTTGCCCAAGGTCACACAGCTTGTCAGTGGTAGAGTTGAGATTCAGACACAGGGTTCAAGTTCAGACATGTGCTCTTAATCCCTCTGCTTGGCAGACTCCCTTCATCTCGAGACTTTTGGCTGTCTTTCTCTCTTTTAAGGACTGGCAGAAGGGGTTGAGAGAAGAGGTTTGATGAGTAGAGCATTTCGGACCTTCTCTCTGGTTAGTGAAGATGCCCTTCTGGATGATTCCAAGCCAAGATCACCTGGGCCCAGAGCAGACTCTTGGGGTGTCCCTCAGTATCCATTGGGGCCAGCTTGAGCTGGGGCGCTGGGAGGAGCCTTTAGAAGGTTGTGGCAGCCCAGACAGCAGGTGGCGGAGGAGGGAGGCGGGTGCCCTTGCTCAGTCCAGGGTGCTCTGGGCAGGGCAGGATAGGGTGATTTTGATGTGAGAGCCTGCCAGGCCCTCTTGGGGGTATATGTCTGCATCGGGAGCCTTCCTGAGAGTGGCTGGAGGCCCTGTCTGCAGACCAGCCGGCAGACTTGGCTCTTGGCAGCGCTAGGAGGCCTTAGGGTACAGCTAATGAGGCCCCAGGGGCTGCTGTGGGACCCCGCCCACACGGAAGGTTGGCATGGCTCCCTGCACGTCAGCACCGCCTGGCCGCCTCAGGGGCCTGGAGAGCTCAGGAACGGAGACCCCAGGCCCTCGCCAGGCCTTCTGGCATCATGTGACCTGAAAAGATGATGGCCAGAGACAGCCCCAGAAATGGGAAGTGGGAACAGAGGCGACGGCCCTGAGGGAGAGCATGTAACTAACGCTGCTGGAGTGTAAGATTTGGCATCCAGCTCACTCACATGCTCCTAGCGGAGGTGCCATCCTGGCTAGAACACACAGTAGGGGCGCAGATGGCTGTGGAGTGGGCACGGTCTGTGTGCTTTTCTTTTTTCAGGATGCCAAGAGGCTGCCCTTTCCCCCAGAGAGCCAGCCAGCGGTCCTGCCTAGCCCCTCTCCAGAGCCCCCCACCCCCCAGCCACGCTCCCCCTGGAGTCTGCTGTGGTCTGAGAGCGGGTGGGCTTCCCCTCTGCTGCAGGAAGAACGGAGCTCGTTCTTCATGCACGAGGCCCACACCGGGCCTTACAGATCTCTGTCATTTACCCCCACTTTACAGACAGGAAGCCAGTGAGGCGCTTACCGCCCACCCCCACCCCTGTCCAGACCCTGCAAGCAGGTGGGGCTGGTGCCGGAGGCAGTGAGGCCAGAGCTGGACGGGTGGGGGAGCTCCCGGAAGCTGTCAGTCAGCTAGTTCTATGCTAACAACTCCCCTTGTCAGTTCTCACCTGACACTTGACGTGCATTCTTTCATTGCCCGCAACAGCCTGGAGTTTTACACCTCTGCTTTCCAGAGCAGGAACTTGGGGCTCATTTGAGCTCATTGTGGGGTCACAGAGAGGCTCAAAGCAGCACCAGAACTTCCAGGCCACTGGGCTCTCTGCCAGTTTTCTGAGAAGCTGAACCCAGAGAGAAAAAGACCTTTGCCCCCAGGAAGCATCCAGATTGGCCAGGGAGATGGCTCCCACGCCCAGGCACAGAGACGAGGTGTCATTATCCTTATTGCTGAGCTGACTGACCAGTGACTCAGTGAGACTTAGCAGAGGCTGGCGCGTGTCTCAACTGGGGCACATGAGTCCACTGTCCCTCACAGAGCAGGATGTCCAGCAGCCGGACCCTTGGACCCCTCAGGCTCTGCATGCCAAGGAACCACCAAGGAGCCTCAGGAGGGGGCCTGGCGTTGGCGTCAAGTGTTTGTCCGGGAAGTGCAGGGCCCTGAGTGTGTGGATGTTGGTGCCGCTCCCACCCGCCAGGACAATCCTGGCAGCTGTGCTGTTGGGGACCCCACGAGAAGGCTCTGTGGCTTAGCAAGAGGAAAATGCGGGATTCTGAGCCGAGCCCTCCCAAGGCAACACTTTCGTCCCAGCGGCAGGCATCCTTCCCTGGTCCCCTCCAGTTGGCGCGGCGCTGCTGGGGCGTACAAGGGGAGGCAGAGGGTGTGACCCAGGGTGGGAGGGACTGAGAGGCAGGCAGGGGTGGATCATGTAGGGCACTGCCAGGTCTTAGACATCTGCGGCAGCGGAATCACATGATTGCCTGGAGCTGGGAGGTGAAGGCAGGACTGGGCCAGTGGAGCCCCGGGGTGCACCGCATGGCAGGACCATAGAGGGGATGGAGAGAAGGAGACAGAGTGGCCGCAGTGCCAACAGCGCTGGTGACCAGTTGGGATTGGCAGCATGAGGATGGAGGACGATGCCAAGGCTCTGACTGGGGACAGGTGCGGGGTGCAGGAGTGTGGAGCAGGGTCACGCTGCTCCAACCTGTTGAGCTTGGCGTGTTTCCAAACAAGCATATCTGCCCAGCAGGTAATTGGGTATTCCACCTGAGGCTGAGGAGGACAACAAAAATGAGAAATATGGGTGTGCCTGTCATGGGGCCTGATGCAGGCGGCCCATGGATGCGCGAGGGAGAAGCACCCCAGGGCACCCGTGTGGAAGGCAGCAGGGAGAGAGACTGAAGGAGATTCAGGAGGAGTGGCCAGGGAGGAGGGGACCCAGTAGTATGTCATTTGGAACCAGAGAAACAATGGGAGTGACCTGATGTTGAGAAGTCAGGTAAGATAAGGACAAGCCTCTGTCAGTCGGACTCAACAAGGTCATAGTGATGCGGTGAAGTCAGCACTCATGAAGGGCCGCAGAGCCGCTGCATTGGGTAGGGAGCAGTTTGGCAGAGGGAGAAGGCCTGTCGGGGGACACGGCTGTGAGGGTGGGTGAAGGAGACTCTTCTGAGCATCAGGGAAGATGTGGATTAAAGACGGGCTACCGCTGGCTGGGTCAGAGAGGCACAAACAGGCCTCTGAACACCGCCAGGTGTCACTTCTGATCACAGAGCCTGGAAGAGTCACTGGATACGACCCACTCACTCCTCTCCAAAAAAAGAGAGGCAACGGGGGCCGGAGCAATAGCACAGTGGGTAGGGCATTTGCCTTGCACACAGCCGACCCAGGTTCGATTCCCAGCATCCCATATGATCCCTCGAGCACCACCAGGAGTAATTCCTGAGTGCATGAACCAGGAGTAACTCCTGTGCATCGCCATGTGTGACCCAAAAAGCAAAAAAAAAAAAAAAAAAAAGCAAAAAGAGGGAAAACAGCTGCGGAGGAAATGAAGTTGCTGACAGGGCAGAGGGAGCAGGGCAGCTGAGGACGGGAGGGACCTGGCCGGAGCTAGGGGGTGGCCTTGGGGGCGAGGGATTGAGGCACACAGGAGTGTGACGTGATGTTTATAGGCAGCAGGCAGGGAGCCTGGGAGCCCCGCCTTATCTCAGGTCTTTCTGGAACATATCAGGCCAGACTAGGCTGGAAATGAGCCTGCCTTGGAGGCGTGTGGATGAAAGAGCGCGTTGGGAATTGCTGCCGTGGAGGGTGGAGGGTGGAGGATGGAGGAGGAAGAGGCGGGAGGATTCTGGCACTGCAGCGAAGCCTCCGGGCCGGGACTGTGCTCTGGGGCTGGTCTTAGCCCAGGTGGGCAGGAGCAGGGCCCAGACGCTCCCACCACTGCGCTGGCCTCCAGCTCCCCAGCCCCCCAGGAACCTTCAGTCCTCACTGCCTCTGAGTGGCACCTGAGCACCCTGCTAGTCTCCCTGTGGCCATCCGATCCAGAAGTTCATGCCACAGGTACTGCTGCTGTGCCAGCCGCTGGCAGACAGGCCACAACCCTGCCCCTGCTAGGCGTGAGTCCAGTAGCCATAGCAACAAGGAGCCAATGAACTGATCCTTGTAGTAGTGAGTGGACTGGGGGCTCCTGAGGGTGAAGGTTGTAAACCCTGCAGGACTCTGGAGCTCTGGGCTGAAGAACCTCTTCCTGGGGAAGACAGAGGATCGCACTGACATCCTGATGGCACAGAACACTTTGTGGGGCACTTAGAAAATAAATACTATCTATGGACTGAATTTGATTTGGTTTGTTTTCTCATTTTGGGGCGTATTTTTTTTTGAGCCACATGTGGTGGTACTCGGGGGCTCCTCCTGGCTCTGTGCTTCTGGGGTAGACCATGTGGTTCAACCCTGGCCTCCGCATGCAGTGCAGGCACTCAGCCTTTAGTGATCTCCACAGAACCTGAGCTGGAAGTTTTAGGTCATAAGATAGTGTCTGGGCTAGAGCAAGAGCACAGCGGGTAGGGCGTTTGCCTTGCATGCGGCCGACCTGGCCGACCCAAGTTCAATTCCTTCACCCCTCTGGGAGAGCCCGGCAAGCTACCGAAAGTATCTCACCTGCACGGCAAAACCTGGCAAGCTCCCCGTGACGTATTCAATATGCCAAACGCAGTAACAACAAAATCTCACAATGGAGACATTACTGAGTCCACTTGAGCAAATCGATGAACAACGGGAGGACAGTGCTTACAGTGCTACAAAGATAGTGTCTGGGGGACCACTTTGGGTTAGGTGGTCAACTGTGCCCTGGGCCCCAAAGTTCAGTATTTCGAGAAGCAGACTCATTCTGTTCCCTTTTCCTCCTTCAAAATCTGACCACTACCCTGCCCGTTGTCCAGTTCTGGGGTGACCATTAACCCACCACACCTCGCCTTCCAACACCCTGCCTGGTGCCCTGGCAGAGTAGGAAGTTCAGGGAGGGCTGGGCGGCCTCCATCTCTCCCCCCTTCTCTCTCTTTCTCTCTCTCTCAGTGCTGTGTTCTTCGTCACCTACATGACCCTGGCCTGCTGCTCTGGACCCAGGTATGATGATGGTTTGAGGATCCTGTGTGAACTTGAGCAGAACCTTGGGGGGAGTCCCGGTGCCTGCACTGGGTGGGCAGTCAGCCATGGCCTGGCTCTGGCCTCTGCCAACAGCCCACCCCCTTCTCTGACTTGGTGCCTTGTGAGGGGCAGATGGGAGAATATGGGAATGTGGCAGAAAGATGAGGCTCCGAGGACTGGTTGGGATCCCACCCCTCGGTGTGGAGGGCCAGCTGGAGCACCCTGACTAACCCTGCTCTTGTCTTGCAGGAGGCACTTCCCATGGAACCTCATTCTCCTGACCATCTTCGTAAGGCCTGCCTGGGGGGGATGGCGGGGGAGGGACGGGATTCACTGGGAGGTCACTGGGGTATTTCCCCCCACACACACCTCTTTCCCAAGAGCGTTCCATCCTCCCTTCCAAATGGGCGGTCGCCCGTCATCCCTCCCAACCCTGCCAGTTTCTTTTCATTGTGTTTTGGTTTTTAAGAGATTTTATGTGGTGGATCCTAGACCGATGAATAATGAACAGTGGGGGGTCTGGGGAGGTGAAACTACAATATAGTTGGACTACAATATAGTCAGCTGGTGCATGGTCAGCCAGGCCGCTCCTGAGTGCTAGAGGTAACAGTGAGAGCCAGCGGGCGGGAGCGATAGTTCAGCAGGCAAGACACTTGCCTTGCATGCGCTCAACCTGAGTTCGATTCCCAGCACCCCCTGTGGTCCCCTGAGGCCCACCAGGAGTGATCCCTGAGTGTAGAGGCAGGAGTAAATCCTGAGCACTGCCTTCAACAAAACAAAAAGTGAGAGTTGGCTCAGAGTCTGAGGTCTGTGCACGGGAAGGAGCACAGACCCTGAAGGTGTCCTCGTCTGCTTCTCCTTTCAGACCCTGTCTATGGCGTACCTCACGGGGATGCTGTCCAGGTAAGGGGTCTGGCCTCTGGGCAGTGGGGAGGGGCTCGTGTAGGCAGGGAGGGACCGGTGACTCCCCAGTTGCAGCTTCAGCCAGAGATGCTCCGCCAGCTGCAACTTGAGCTGTGCACACAGGAGAACCAACTCCCAGCCCAGCCTACTGGGTCCTCCGAGCACCCTCATGAGTGACCCCCCCAAGCATGAAGCCAGAAGTAGCCCCTGAGCATAGTGTGGCCCACAAACTCCAACCCCCCAGACCCACTCACCATCACACAGCTCAGGCCCCAGTGCCAAGACACTGCTCCTCCACCCGCCTCCAGACCCTTTTGATGACAGGCAGGGCCCAGTGGGAAGGGGGGTGGGGGAGCATCCTGGGAGAGAGGAGAGGCCAGGGGTCGGGTGCTGGGGAGACCAGGGGGGCTGCTACAGAGCCCCGGGGCCTCTTGTCCCACCAGTTACTACAACACCAAGTCTGTGCTGCTGTGTCTGGGCATCACGGCCCTCGTCTGCCTCTCCGTCACCCTCTTCAGCTTCCAGACCAAGGTCAGCCCCCGGGACACAGGGTGGTGGAGGTGTGGGGGAGACAGAAGAGGCACTCGGGCTCTGGGGGGCACCTGAAACGGGAGAGGGAAGGAAGGCGGGGTCCCCAGGAGTGCGGGTGGCTGGTGGGGTGCTCAGGAGAGCAGAGCCGCTCTGCGCAGGCCCGGCCCCCTCCGCTGACGCTGTCTGTCCCTGCAGTTCGACTTCACCTCGTGCCAGGGCGTGCTCTTCGTGCTGCTTATGACGCTCTTCTTCAGCGGCCTCGTCCTGGCCATCCTCCTGCCCTTCCAATACGTGAGTCCTCACCCTCGTCGTCGGGTCTCCCAGCCCTGTGGGGGGCGGGGGTTGGCCCCAGGCTGCAGTGTCCTCCCACACCCTCCAGGGAAGGCTCAGCGCCCAGGGCTCCAGGCTGCCGTCCTGTCCCAGGACACCTGTCCGAGGACTCTTGGCGGGGGAAGCACAAACACGGTGGCTTTTCTTGGCAGGCCAGCTCCTGCCACATCCGCCTCACCTTTTCCCACAGGGGTGGGGGTTGGCCGAGGCTGAGGCCAGGTCGGAGCACTTAAAGCAAGGCAGGAGGGCAGTGCCGCCGCCACCGCCACCGCACGCACGGGGCACACAGCAGCTGGCAGGTGGATAGGGGGAGCACCCCTCGCCCCCCATTAGGTTTCCTGGGCACGGCTGCCTTCCCCCTGAGCCCAGCCCATTCCAGGTGCAGGGCAGTCTGCACTGGAGAGGAGGGGGCTGATTGAGGGCATCCCAGCGGGGCCTGACAACCAAAGAGATGGGCCCTGCTAAGTGCCTAGAGCTTCCCACAGGGCGCCTCGGGTCCTCCAGAGCCCCCTCGTGACTGCAGAGAACAGCGTCCTAGCTCCACCCGATCCTGCGAGCCTGTAGGTCTTGGTGCCTGCTCCAGGAGTTTGCTGCTGGCATTTCCTTGGCTCTTCCCAGGATCCTGTTGACAAAGGGAGGGGCCGGAGCTGGCCTGGGGGCCCTCTGTGAGGGGGGCAGGGGGGTGAGCCCCAGACAGTGCTTTATTGACGCAAGCCTGCTCCTGTTTCCAGGAATCTCCTGGGGCAGACCTTTCAGGGCACCCTGGGACTGGGGGGAGCAGACGTCAGGCTCTGTTCCACCTCCTGCAGGCCATGTCAGATGGCAGCTGACACCCCCCCCCCCCCCACATCCCTGAGTGAAAGGCTTTGTCCTCTTCACCCTGAGACCTTCTCCTACTTCTCACCGCCTGCAGAGGGACTTGTGAACCCTCCTGTGCCCAGTGACTGGAGAAGCCCAGGCCACACACAGGCTGTCAGGCTCCTCTTGCCTGAGTGGAAGGGAGAAGACCAGGTCTAACGGGAGCTCCCGGCAAGCTCCTGCAGGACCAGCCTTCCCAAGCACCCAGGGAATTTAGTCTGGGGCTTCTCGCGGACTATGGGAGTGTTGGGGGTTAGGACAAGTCCCCCGAGGAGGCCTGTCTCACATCCCCCAAACACTGGAGAACCCTCCTCCCTGCCTCCACAATGCGCCCAGTCCCTAAAGCTCTCTCCCCTCCCTCTCTGCAGGTACCCTGGCTCCACGCAGTGTATGCCGTGCTGGGAGCAATCGTGTTCACGCTGGTGAGTGCAGGGGACTGCTTTCCTGGCACCCCGCCCCCTCCACCTTCCCTGTCCTCCTCTTGTTTTCCTCCTCAGTGACTTACTGGAGCACCTGTGGGCTCGGGGGAGCTCCCATTAGGAATGCTGCTCCCCTGTGCAGCCCCACCGGCTAGGCAGAGGAGGAGAGGTTCAAACTGCTGGTTTTGAGCTACAGAGAGGCACCCTCAGCTCCTCGGAAGCACTCGTGGAGAGTGAGGGACGGAGGGCTGGACAGGGAGGGGTCTGGGCCTCACGGATATGGTTCTCCCTTGCTCTCCCAGAGGTCATCTGGGATGGCTTCTCAGTGCCAGGGAGATTCCCTGTCCCTGCAAGAGTGATAGATACCCTTAGATTCTTGCGCTTGGGTCTTGTCTGTTGACAGAGAGGGCTGATGAACTTCATTGTCATCATCATCACAGTAGTAGCTACTAGTTGCTCCCCAGCCTCCAGCAAGCTCTCCATGTACCTGACTCCTCCCTGAATCCTCCCTGAAATAGGTCCTATCGTTCTCAAAGTCGGATGAGAAGCCTGAGGGAGCACAGTGCAGGGCACTGCTGGGGTTGGCCCTGGCAGCCTCTGAGCACAGCTATCTGCAGAGAGTGGCCCCTGCGTCTAGCACCCCGGGCAGGCAGGGCCAGAGTGCAGCGCTGGACAGCCCCGCCACAGAGCCGTGCTTGGCTAGAGTGCTCGGGGACAAGGAAGCACACCCGGGACAGCTTTACTCAAGTGGGCTTCATCGCCTAGACATTACAGTGCTCCATCCAGGGACAAGCTAGAGTTGGTGACATCACTTTAGGGTGGGGCTGGGGTGTCCATAGCCAGTCAGGACCGTAACCCTGTTCTCTCCCTCATTAGGGTGTTCAGCCCCGCTGGGTCTGGCGAGAGCCCAACCTTGGTCAAAGATTTCAGGGGATTGTGGGGACAGACTAGGAGAGTATAGGGGGTGGGGTTTAGAGGTCAGAACTGTGAGCAGTGGTTTGCAGGGTGGATAAAGATGGAGCCAGGAGTGGAAATGTGGTAGATTGATTCCTTCATCCAAAGGTCCTTAATGAGACCCACAGCATCGGGGTGTATGTTGGGCACCCAGGGGGGCGTAGTGTGCCCTCCATGACTCCAGGCTCTGAGTCTGAGGACCTGATGGGAGGACCTAGGCATCTTCTAGCGACCCCCCTTTTACAGATGAGAAACCTGAACCTTGCAGAGTGCTCTGTCCATGATTTTCCTTCCAGATCATGATAGAGCAGCTGGATCGAGTTGATGCTATCTTGTCCCCACTCACCAGAGCTTTCGTAGTAAACACAGAAAGGTCCTTGGTGGCAGGCGGGGCTAAAACTCAAGTAGCACTGAATGGTGGTTCATCCTGTGATACTAACTTCTAACTCCTGGCCAGTGCTCTTCCTGCTAAGAGGAGGGGTCATGGCAGGGCCCAGGTGGGGAGGTCACGCAGCCATGGCCAACACACAGAAGCTCTCAGCCCACAGCGGTGGGGTGGGATGAACAGCACCTAGCGAATCACCTAATCATTGTTACAATGATAACACTCCCAGCCAACTGTTCCACCCTCTCTTTTCCAGGGTCGTTTCACACCCACTACATCCAACACACCCAGGAGGGAGGCTGTGTGGAGGTTTTCCATACCCGCACCCCTGGGCTTTCGGGGTGGCACAGAGTCTAGGGCAGATTTAGGACAGGACCCTTATGTCTTGTGCCAGCCTGGCGCCATCCCCAGTGCCTCTGGACTCCATGGGTGGGCTTGAGTGGGCAGAGGCTGAGGGAGGCCATTTGGCATCTCACACCCTCCCTCACAGCATCAGTGCTGCCCTCCTCACTGGTTATTCCCAGAAGCACCAGGCAGCTATGATTATCCCAGCCGGAAAAAAACATCCCACAAAACTTTTGATTCACACTCCTCTCTCTTGCCCACTTAGAACAAAGTTCCTTATAAGGGAAACTATACATACTATTTCCACCCCCCCCTCCTCCCTCCTCCCTTCTCTCTTAAAACAGCAAATTAAAGAAGCACTGCTTTATCTAGGTTGTCAGAAACCAGCATGATAATTGAGCATCTATGTCCCTCAGGAGCCCAGAAAAGTCTGTTTCCTCCACCACCAAGCAGTTGGCCCAGTCTATCCCCTAACCTCCATCCCCTCTGGTAACCGCTATTTTGTTCTTAGAATCTAAGAGCTCGTTTGGTTTCTTTTACATCCACAAGAGAGAAAAATATTTGTCCTTCTCTGATGTGTTTCACCTCACCCAGGCTACATGTGGCTGAGTAGTTCTCCGTTGACCCTAGATCACATCTTCAGCCACCTTCCACTCATGAGCATGTAGGCTGTTTCCAGAGCTTGACTGTTTTGAATATGCCGTGAGGGCCAGAGGGTGTGTGTTTTTTTGTTTGCCATGAGTGGGTTTTTTTTTTTTTCAAGTCATCAGATAAAGGCCCAGAAGTGAGATAGCTAAGTCATATGGTATTTCTGCTGAGCTTTTTGAAGAATTTCAGTATTGCTTTCCTTAGTGACCCCGCTGGGTCCCGTTCCTACCATCCCTACCAACACTGTTTGGCTTGTCTTTTAGATCATGACCTTTTCCTGAGGCATGAGATGGTATCTCCTTGTGGTTTTGATTTGTCTTTTTCTAGTAATAAGTGATAGTGAACATCTTTTTTTGTGAGCTTATTGTTTGTTTTCTTTAGAGAAATATCTATTCATATCATCTGCCCATTTTCCAAATCAGGCTGTTTTATTGTTGTTTGGAAGATATTCACAAATTCTATATCCCAGTGAGATGTTAATAACTCATTCTCTCTTTTAAAATTCTTTTTATTTTTAAATTTTATTTTCATAAGCTTGTTCACATTAATTACATTCAATATTTAAACACCAATCTCACCATCATTACACCTTCCCACCACCATAATTTTGAATTTTCCCACCACAATTCAATCCTGCCTGCCACAGGCAGATGCTAGATCATTTATTTTCTATTTCTTATTATGAATTTCATGAGAGGTCGGGTGGCTGCTTTTGCGGCCGTGTGTTCCTGGAATTCTGAAATTGTAAATGATTGGGGTCTGGATACATCTCTGTAGGAAACTAATCCATTTTGAGATTCATTTGCAAGTCTCTGAATCAAGGCCGGTGACATGCTTAAATATCACCCAGAGGCAGTTCATGGGCATAACAAACTGGACCCTGAAGGGGCGGGGAGACAGGAAGAGAACCCCCATTCCCACCATGCCTCATTGCCTGGAGTCTTCAGTCCCTGGTCCCGCATACCTGGGTTTTTCTTCTGGAAGTTTGTGGCCACTGAGGGGTTCATTTGTAGTGCATAGATAGAGGGCACCAGCTCCATCTGAGGTGCCCCAGTGAAATTGGCTCAGCTCAGGGTCTGGGGTTCTCTCTCTTTTGGGGGTGGGATTACAACTGGCGATGCACAGGGTTACTCCTGGCTCTGTACTCAGGAATTACTCTTGAGGTGCTCAGGGGACCATATGGGATTCTGGGAATTGAACCCAGGTCAGCCGCATACAAGGCAAACGCCTTATCCGCTGTGCTATCGCTCCACACCCAGCTCATTCTCTCTTAACCTCCTACAAAATGCTCTCCCCACGCTCACTAATGGGCTCCATGTGGCTAAATGCAGTGATCATTTCTCAGTCCCCGTCTTGCTCAACTCAGTAGCATTTGATTCAATTGCTCAATCCTGCCTCTCAGCAGCCCCTCAACATCTAGACCGCCAGCTCTTCTTCCTGAGGAAAGCCTTTCGGGCCCTCAGCTCCTCTTGCACTCAATTCTTGGGGACCCTCAGATTGCCTTTGGGCCCCTCTTTTTTGATAATGAGACTAACATCTCTAATTCCAGATAAGAATCAATCTCTCGGGGCTGGAGCGATAGTACAGTGGTTAGGGTGTTTGCCTTGCACGTGGCCAACCCAGGTTCAATCCCTGGCATCCCATATGGTCCCCCGAGCGCCACCAGGTGTAATTCCTGAGTGTAGAGCCAAGAGTGACCCTGAGCATCTCTGGATGTGACCCAAAAAGCAAAAAACAAACAAACAAAAAAGAATCTCTCTCTCTCTCTCTCTCTCTCTCTCTCTCTGGGATTCTGTGGTTTACAATGCTATTAATAATGGTTTCTCATGCACATAATTCTAACATCTCACCCATCACCAGTGTATTTCCTCGCTCTCCCCAAAATCAATACCCCTCACTCTCAGCCCTTCCAACTCAATTGTATGAATCAGTTCTCCCATTAAGTTGCCTTTAGACCTTTGTTGCTACCTCCCTGTGTATCTTCAAGTCCCACATATGTGAGAGAAATCAGCCTGTATCTATCCCTTTCCTTTTGTTTGATTTCCCTCAACATGCGTTCTCTGGTTCCACCCATGCTGCTACAAATTGCAGGATTTTGGTAGTTCTTAAGAGTTACATAGTATTCCATTGTACATACACAGACATAATTTCTTGATCCATTCATTCCATTCATTCATAGTTGGGCACTTTGGTTGTTACCATATCTTGGCTATTGTAATAAGTGTAAGTGATGAATACAGGAGTGTGTTTTTGTATTTTGGTGATATCACTGGGTCAGACGGTAGTTCTGCACTGTACTGTCCTCCCATTGTTCATCAATATACTCGAGCGGGCCCAGTAACATCTCCATTGTGAGACTTTGTTGTTACTGTGTGTTTGGCATATTGAATATGGGAGCTTGCCAGGCTTTGCCGTGCGGGCGAGATCTCTCGGTAGCTTGCTGGGCTCTCCGAGAGGGGCAGAGGAATTAAACTCCGGTCAGCCGTGTTGGCCGCATGCAAGGCAAATGCCCTACCCACTGTGTTATTGCTACAGCCCCTATAGAGAGTAGTTCTATTCCCTATTTTTTTGAGAGCTCTCCATATTTCTTCCCATCAAGGCTTAAGCAGATGACATTCCCACCAACAGTGGATGAGAATTCCTTTCTCATCACAGCCCCACAAACATTGAC